CCAGCAGGGCTGAAATTCTACCTGGCTATCACCGGTTTTACCCTGAGCCGATTAGGACCGCACAAACACTAGCAGACTTCTCCTTGCAGACCGAGCGGTACCTCTGCGGTGTTCGGCTTAGCTTCCCGTGGGCTTCAGATGGCGCGTTCCCACCATCTGCCGAGACCTAGGGTCACGGGCCACCCCTCTCCTGCCTGGGGAGCAGAGGAGTCCACGTGCCAGAATTTTCCAAATGACAGAAATCTGGGACAATGAATTCCGTGGCCAATCTCGTCTGTCCTCGTCCACTATCTGTAGGATGCCAAGGGTAAACTGGTTGGGTCTCAGTACCCTCGAGCAGGACGAGGAAGGAGTGTGGGCCCAGCTGGGGATGCGGACGTCTTGGTGGAAGAGGTCAGTAAGGAGAACCTCTAGGGGCAAAGTCTTATGCTCTGGGAAAAGCAAAATTGTCACGGGAAACAGCAAATGACCAAGACGTATATCATCTCCCGGTTCTGGAGGCCAGAAACGAGACGTCACGGTGTGTGGGGACCCCACACCCCCGAAGGGTGTGTCCCAGGCTCCTCTCCTCCCTCTCAGGCCCCCCAGCCCCCCTTTGCTTGTCAGCATGTTCCCTTCGACAAGGCCGTTGTCCTGTGAAGTCAGGGCTACCCTGAGCCCTCGTCTTGACTTGGTACAATCTGGAAAGACCTGGTTTCCAAATCAGGTCACCTTCGGTGCTGGGGTGAGGGCTTCCGTGTACCTTCTTTTGTGGGGGACACAAGTTAGCTCGTGACAACGAGGGTGCAGAACAGTGATCCCCAGAGAAACAGCTCCCTGCAGGAGCCTTTGGAAAAAGGAAGCTTCTCCCGGCTTTTCTTCCTTCTGCCTTGCGAGGAGCCGGGGTCCTCAGACAGCCACCAGATGCTCGCACGGACAGCCCGTGCCATGCTCAGGTGCTCGATTTCAAGCCATAGGCTGCTAAGTTCCACATTGGTTCCACAGCCTGTCAGTGCAGCTCAGTGGTTGAGCAGCGTCCTGTGCACCAAGAGGTAGCAGGTTCGATTCCCAGTCAGGGCGCCTGCCTGGGTTTCAGGCTCAATCCCCAGTAGGGGGCGTGCAGGAGGCAGCCGATCAGTGTTTTTCTCTCGTCCATGTTTTTAGCTTTCTCTCTCTCCCTCCCTTCCGCTCTCTGAAATAAATATAAACATATATATATATTTTTACATTGCTTTTAAGCCCTGGCCAGTTTGGCTCAGCGGTGGAGTGTCGGCCCACGAACCAGAGAGTCCTGGGTTCAGTTCCTGCTAAGGGCATGTACCTCGGTTGCAGTTTGTCCCCGGCCCTGGTTGGGGTTGTGTGGGTGGCAGCCACTCGATGTCTCTCTCTCACATCGATGTTTCTCTCTCTTCCCCCATCTCTCCCTCCTGCTCTATCTGAAGATAAATGCAAAAATGTCCTCAGGTGAGGATTAAAAAAAAAAATTGCTTTTATGCTCTGGCCAGTTTGGCTCAGCGGTTAGAGCAGTGGCCCAAGGACCAAAGAGTTGCAGTTTCAATTCCGGTCAAGGGCACGTACCTTGGTTTCAGTTCCGTCCCTGGCCCTGGTTGGAGTCGTGTGGGAAGCAGCCCGTCGGTGTGTCTCTCTCACATGGATGTTTCTCTCTCTCTCCCTCTCACTGTATCTGAAAATTAATGGACAAATATCCTCGGGTGAGGATTAAAAAAATAATAAATAAATAAATAAATAAAAGTACTTTCTTCTCCTTTAAAAAAATAATAAAATAAAAATTGCTTTTATAATGCCTGGCACCTGAATGTTTGACCCCTCCCCCCCCGAATGCCTGTTGTGCACAGGGATCAGGGTCACTAAGATGGACAGATCCTGTGCCTTCAAAGAGCTGTGTCCCCTGGTCTCCCTGGCAGGCGTTGGTGCCATCACCGCAAGAATGAGTTTGTCCCGGGTTCGAGGAGTCATCTTGGCACACATGTGGTCTTCAGAAACATTTTTTCTGATGTTTCTTTTTTTTTTTATTCAGATAGAGTGGGAGGGAGGGAGACAGATGAGAGAAACATCGATGTGACAGAGACACATCGACTAGTTGCCTCCCTCAAGGCCCTGGCCGGGGACGAACCGAAACTGAGGTACGAGCCCTTGACCGGAATAGAACCCACGACTCGTTGGTCCACAGGCCAACGCGACGCTCTAACCACTGAACAACCGGCCAGGGCTTTTCTGATGTCTTTTATTTATTTATTTATCCTCACTTGAGGACATTTTTCCATATTCTGTTCAGATAGAGTGGGAGGGAGGGAGGGAGAGAGAGAGAAACATCGACGTGAAAGGGACACATCAAGTGGCTGCCACCTGCACGACCCAACCAGGGCCGGGGACAAACTGCAACCGAGGTACATGCCCTTAGTGGGAACCGAACCCGGGTCTCTCTGGACCGCAGGCCGATGCTCCAACCGCTGAGCCAAACCGGCCAGGGCTGTGCTCCGGTTTCTAAAGGACGGACACTCGTTCCTGAGCAGGTGCCTCCTCCGGACACACAGCTTTGAAAGCTTCTTGGAAACAATGTGTCAGCACGTTGGCCTTTGCCAGAGGCGTCGCTTGGCTGTGGGCTTGAGCCGTGAGGGTGGCCCGGCAGGTGCGCCCAGTCCTGCCACTCGTCCCCGGCTGGAAGCCATCTGTGAGCGGCCACGCTGACCTGGGGTCTCGGGAGTCTCTCTCCCCCCCGGGAACCCACAGGCAGGCCGGACCCCTGCCCACGCACCCAGCCAGCTGGTCCTTGCTCCTCGTGATTGATGCGAAAGCAGGGGAGGGGGACGGGTCAGGAGGCCGGCGTGAAAGAGCCGGGTGCCGGGCGGTCTGAAAGCAGTCAGACAGGACAGGTCAGAGGACGCCGTCCGCCTTGGAAAGATGACTCCTCGGGGTGGAAACGGCTCCTGAGGTCAGCCAGCAGGTGGGGCTGGTGCGAGGCCTGATGACATCGCTGGTTCCTGCGGCCAGCCCACCCTGGCCAGGAGGGCGTGGAGGGCCCAGTCACCCACCCACACCTGGTAAATCACCCCGGTGCGGGTCAGCTCACTCGTGAGACGCTGCCTGAGGCAGCTCGGGAGCCCGACCTGCACGCACAGGGCCGTGGGCATCTGTTTCCGCGGGTCCTACAGCTCGTGCTAGGGGGCCCGGGACCGCACGCTGGAGGATTCAAATGGATGTTCTCTCCTCATCTGTTGTGCCCCCGAGATCAAGGGAACGTCTACAAGTCAAGGGGGGGACGCAGGGCACCGTGTGGCTTGATGACATCTGATTCAAGTTTTAATCTGCCAGGAACGTTCCCAGGTAAGACCGCAGGAGACTTTCCAAACTGGCTAAATGAACACGTGCCCTGTGCCCATGCTGAGTTCCCGCCTCCTGGGCCTCCCTGGGCCTGAGCAGAGCCCGGGACGCCTGTGAAATACCCCCCCGCCCCCCCCCCCTCCCCCCCGTACTCTAACGGAGCAGGGTCGTTCGAGTACTTGCTCGGGGACCAGAAATATTCCAGGAAATGTCCACCCCTCATCTTGATTCTAAAGCAGGGGTTCGGACCAGCTCGGAGTGGGCACTGGCTGGCTCGGGGCCCACTGACCAGCCGGTCTGAGTCCGTGACCAGGGTGTCTCCTGTCCTCCTCCACCGTTTCCAGGTGAAGTTCTGTGCGACACGTCGGAGGGACCCACTGTGGTGAAGTGTGCTGGGTGGAGTATGACAAGGTGGAGCTTGTTCACTGAAACGCGTGTTCCGACGCAGAGTGAGGCGCAGCCCGCGTGCTGGGGGAGCCCTTGGCATCGTCTCGGCTCTGAGGGGCCACAGGGCTGCTCCAGGGAAACTGCTCCCGGGCAGTGTCAAGTGTGGGGGCCCCCAGACCCCTATAGGCCTGATCCCCTCCACCCCCGCCTCACACAGCCCCCAGCCTCCCCAGCATGCCCCTGCCCCTTTTCTCTGCAGCTTCCTGTCACCCCACCCCAGGGGCAAGTCCAAAGCCCAGGGGAGGGAGAGTCCTAACTGCTCCCCAGAGCAACCCCGACAGGGCCCTGGGTCCCCACGGTGGCCTAGGTCCGTGACCAGACCCCTACAGCTCAGTGATGACACCAGACCTTCGGTGAGGCTTCTCGGCTATTCGAGGCCGTGAACACAACACTTTTTAGAAAAAAATTAGGCCGGTGTGGCTCAGTGGATTGAGCATCCTCCCATGGACGGAGAGGTCCCAGTTTGATTCCCGGTCAGGGCACATGTCCGGGTTGCGGGCTTGATCCCCAGGAGGGGGCGTGCAGGAGGCCACCGATCCATGTTTCTCTCCCTCTCCTCAAAAAAATCAATGAAAACATATTTTAAAAAATAGAATAGCCCTGGCCGGTTTGGCTCAGCAGTTGGAGCATCGGTCTGCAGACCAGAAAGTCCTGGGTTCAGGTCCCGCTAGGGGCATGTACCAAAAAAAAGAAAGAAAATAAAAAGAAATAAATGTCGCCACACCCCTTCCCCAGCTGCTTGCTTCCTTCGCTCATGCTTACCCCAGCTTGGCTATTTGACCCCTGGAATTAGCCTCGGTGGCCAGTTCTGACTTGTCCATGAACTCGAACCCAGCACCCAGCAGAGTAGGACCTGTGCAGTGACCAGACTTAGAAGGCGAAATGCCCGATGGTGGAGACGCCGCCTCTGGGTCACCTGGGGCCTCTATCCAGCCGGCACCCAGGAGCGCGTGCCGTGGGGGTGCCCTGTCCTCACGCTCCCCCTTTCCTGGGCTGTTTGCTGGGCGCCAGAGCCCCCCAGGTACCCGTGCAGACCCGGAAGGAGGGCCTCACTCCCAGCACCGCGGGAGGCGAGTGCGGCTGACTCCCCAGCGCTGCACCGCCAGCAACACTGGCCTCGTGTTTTCCCAGAGACTGTGCGACAATCCACTCAAGTTCGAAGAGCGGCCAAACATTTCCGTTCCCGATTCTAACACCCACCTTCTTCGGGAAAAACCCATCACTACCACGGTTGGTTTTGAACCTTTAATAGAAATAAAAATAAAATAAAATAAGAAGACGGAAAAGAACACCATGAACACGGAGCATGAGCGTGAACCTTCCTGGCCGCCCCACTGGCGCCCGCGCGGTACTGACGCGGTTCCGTCTCCCCAGACCTGGATCCTGGGTTCCCACCTCGGCCGTGTGGGCAGAGGGAGTCTCCAGGTTCCCCTTGGCGACATTGTTTCTAAGAGAGACAGATTTGCTTCCCGTTGAACAGAGAACAACAAAAAACAAAACTGTCTGCCCATCCTCACGTGTATTTATAAAGATTCGACTCTTGCTTTCAGCCAATACCTCCCAGTTTCCCGCGAAACGCTGGAGTCTCCAAGACCTTCCCACGGTGTGGAATCACTCGTGTTCGGAAGGCGTCGGGGGGCCACCGCGAAGTTCAGAACGGTCTCACTTTCCCTTCAACGAGGAGAAATTCTCCTAAAGCCAGTTAGCCACAGGGACATAGAGTTTGCTGTAAGAAAATCTCCCCACAAACAAAACCACCGCGACGGGGATCGTCTGGGACGCCGAAGTCCCTGTCCACAGCCGCAGGCAGGGAGGCCTGTCCGTCCGTCCGTCCGCTGGCTACCAGCTGACATCTCAGGAGCCTTTCCATCAAGCTGCTTTCCCAGAATTTAAACCGAAAACATTTAAATTTCAAAGTACAAAAAAAAAAAAAAAGCTGAATTTGTAAGTCAAACTGTGTCCACTAAAACCCACTGACCGGGGGTCTTTGCAAGGACAAGGGCTCGGGGGGTGGGGGGGCCGGACGACAAGGAATTATTGCTGAATTCTGCCTCCATGCAGGGCTGAAATGGATGGGGAACCCTCTCTCTGACATCTCACGCGTTTAAAAAAAAAATAAATATGTAAGAGAATACAAGGCTCAGATTGGTTTTCATACACATTGCACTTGAAGTTCCTGACCCGGGGCGCCCGCGCCGGGTCCGCCGTGGCCGGTGCCGTGCGGTGGACGCTCCGTGCAGCAGAAACACCCGCGCTCAGGCAGGGGCGGCCCACTCCCGTGTCCAGGCAGTCACGGACTGCAGACCCCGAGGGCTGCGGGGGCCCGGGCAGACCCGGCCCACCAGGGTGCTGGCGCCAGCACGGACCCCTCGCTGCCGGGCCCGCGGTGCACCCCGACGGCGTGCGGCCACGTGGGCGACGGGTTTCCTATGGTGGCTGCTGCCTGCACCTCTGCTGTCCTTTTGTTAAAAATCTTTCGGATAAACTTCGTTCCTATCTTATCGCACTCGCCTCCGCCGAGCTCCGCCCAGCTCTCCGCTGTGGGCACAACCCCAAAGAGGGGCTGGGACTTGGGCCTTCAGTTCAAGGCTTAGAAATATGGCCACTTGCTGTTTATGACGTGGATGGCACCGGACGCTCGGAAACCGCGTCAGCTGCCCGCCGGCCCACGCCGGGGACCCAGGGCCAGGGGGCCGACGCAGCGCGGGGCAGCGGAGGGGCTTCTCCAGCTGAGCCGCCCTGTGCACCTGCCCATCTTAGCGGGGTGCCCCCGGAGTCCCTCGTGAGCCAGCCCCGCGCCGGGGGCCACGGAGGAGAGACACCGCCGTCAGTCCGAGCTCGGGGGGCCACGCCTGGCTGTCCTTTGGAAGCAGCGCGCGGGACTCAGTCGCTGTGCGGCTTTTCAGGGACACCCTGTGAACAGAGACAGAGCGAGACGTGAGCACGGCGCACGCATACGGACTGGCCATCGGGCGGACCCGGACTGGGCGCAATGACGGGGACGAGAAATGGGGGACTGCCAGCAGAAGCCCCGCCCTCGGCCCGGGGCCCCAGCATCACGCCGTGCAGGCGGAGACCCTCTGCATCACGCCATCGACCCCAAACTGCCGCAAACCCCACAGTAGTCAGAGCTCCCCAGGCCTGCAGGGCGCTTTCCGTGGGGTGGCCTCACCGAGAAGCACACCCCAAGATCGAGCGACCTTCCTGAGGTCGCAGAGCTACCAGAGGGCAGCAGAGGGACTCCCCTGACCTGCGTCCTTCCACGGCCCCCATGCGGGCGACCACGCGACCCGGGGCCACGGGAGGCAGAGACCACACACGGCCACGGCCGCTGGAAGCCGGACCTCTCTTGAGAAGAGACTTGAAGGTCCAAGCAACAGACCCAAGTTCTCTACGCCGTCGCCGCCGACCCGTGGCTTCCTCTCCACGCCCAGCTGGTGACAGGCACCGGGCAGGGCAAGCACGGAGGGCCTGGGCACGGCCACCCGCACGCAGACGCTGACCTCCAGGGGCCTCGTCACGGCGCCTAGAAGCTCCTGCCGGAACCGCACCCCTTGTTCGTGGCGAGTAGCCTGTGGTCAAACTGGGCATGTTACTCGGCGAGTCGCTCAAAGTCGCAGAACCTGTCGACCGCCCTGGGTGAGGACTGACTAGTCTCCGTGAGGGGCGGATGCTGAGGTGGCGACAGAGGCGTCGCCATGACGACGGGCCAGCATGAGCCCACGGTGCCAGTGGTGCCCACCTCGGGTCCCTCCACCCTGGGGATGTCACCCCGTCGCCGGGCACAGCCTCACACTGGGTGGAGGGTGTCTCACTCCAAGTTCGCCGGCAGATCTGCCCTGGGGACGCTGGGCCAGGTCTACTTCTCAGATCAACTGTGTGCGCACGCGCTGGGGGCGGCTCCCCGCGGCCTGGCCGGGGGACGCACCCCGCTTCCCAGACACCGACCAAGGTCCTGGGTTTTAAGGAAGGGGATGAGCTTCCAGACATTGAACAGAGTAATCCTGTTTCACACACACGTCATGAAGTAAGAAAGCTGTTCATTGTTTCTCCTTGCTCCAAAGAAAGAGGTGCAGACCCAGGCACCCTAACTCTCTAAGGAGAAAACGTCACTCGCTCTCTCTAGAGAGGCCGCTGCAGCCAGCTGTGTGGGCACCACGGACCCAGGTAGGAGGAAGCACGTCCTGGGCTGCCCCAGCCCAGGCAGATGCTCAGACCTGCGGGGCTGGGCACCCCGAGTTAGGGGCCTGGGCCTCCGTGCTGCCTGCGGCTGGGGTTCGGGTGATCACCTCCTGCTGCGGTGTGGGGGAAGCCCCCCAAACAAAAGGTGCCATGAGCCGCTGCAGTGAGGCAGGGACATCGCGCCGAGGGAGTCCCCGCTTCCTGAGACAGCCCTGATCACAGACGTGTCCCGTCCGTCAGGCCCAACGTGATCGGGACAAAGGTAATTCCCTCCACTCCCCACTGGAGTCCCGTGAAAACCTGATCCTGGCTCCACGCACGCGTCCTTCTGCGGCAGCGGCGCATGGATTTAAGAAAGGCCCTCTGTGACCCAGGAAGGAAGGGCCGCTCCTTTAGGCTGTGTGGACGGAGCGCCTCCTGGGGGAGGAGAGGACTCGGGGAGAGCGAGCTGGCGTGGCTCAGAGGGGACAGACGCCCCAGGGGTGGAAGACAAGCCACAGGCAGGGAGACCAGCCACACGGCCGATGTCCCGAGGCAGACACGTTTCTGAGAAAGCCCCGGCCTTCCTCTTGGGGTGACGGCCCCTCCGACTCTGGCTGCTGGTTTACTCGGGCTCATTTCTTTAAGCCTGAGTCGAGGTCAACACGGAATGAGGTCCAAGTCCACACTGGGTTTTCTTTTTGGAAAGTGTTCAGGTGCCGATTTTAGCTCCCGAAAAGAACTGCTCCCGTGGTCCCCCCCTCACTTCCTGGCTAGTATCGCAGGGCAGGCTGGGCCGCAGGGAGCACACCCCCTTTTTACAGGGAGGACGGGAGCGACAGGGGGGGCCGTCTACCCACCACGCTGAGCCTGGCTGGCCTGGCGCCCGCAGGGCTGCAGCCTCGGGCTCTGTCTGCCTCGGACCCTCTCCCCAGGTCACCCGTGCCCACTGCCGCCTCTCAGCCACGCCTTCGGTGCGGTGACCCCAGCAGCTGGCGTTCCGGGGCCGCTGCCACCCTCCGGTCCTTCTAGATCTCACCGTGGCTCACGGGTCTCGGCATCTTTGTGACTTAGCACAGAACTGCCTGGGTATCTTTTAAAAACAGATACACACGCTTTTCTCATGCACTGTTGCCGTTGACTCGCAACGAGACACCTGTCACGCGGGCGCAAATGCTACGTGGAGCTCTGTCCAGCGGGGAGACTACGGGCTGGAGCGAGGGGCGGGTGCGCGTACCATGGCCAGCTGCCGTCCGATGTTCCCCACGGTCACGCCTCCCGAGAAGAATATGCAGGGCAGCCAGGAGCGGACGTAGAGGAAGTCCGGGGACGTGTACCTGCAGGGAGAGGAGGGAGGTGCTGAGAACCTCGCCCGAGCCCTTGGCTGGGACACGGTCAGCGGACGAGAGGCGCTGCGGGTCCCACCTGAACGCCATGCCCTTGCTCCCGCGTGGGCCCCCCAACTACACAACGAGGTGCCTTTTCAATGTGAGCCAGCAACAGCGGCACCTCCTGCCCGAGTCTAGGGCTCTGTGTGGACATGACGCGGCCGCCTCGGCTAAGTGGCCGCTCCTAACCCGAGTGGAGGGCTCCCAGCTGGGGGCCCCGTGCAGACACTCACTGGTAGACGCCGTTGTACACCAGCAGCTGGGTGATGAGCGTGGCGAGGAAGGCAATGGTGATCCCAAGCCCAAGGCCACTTCTCGAGCGGTCAAAGGTCCACCAGAGGCCCAAGGACAGGGCCGCCAACGTCAAGGAGAGCTGCACGTTGTTGGCAAAATCCAGTTTCTGGCCGTGCGAGTCAAGGGAACGCCGGAGGTTTTTAACGAGGTTAGAAAACACAGCTCCAGATCCTACACGTCCTCCCTCTCGTGTCCATCCCTCCCCGGACACCAGGGAGCCGCACCGACCGTCAGCTCCAAGGTCCCCAGAGCAGGACGACCGGACGCTTCCACGGTGCCACCGGGTGAACACCCCTGAGAGCGGACGGAACACTCGGCTGCTATCTCAAACCCCAACAACCCACTTTGCTGGCCCGCCCCCGCAGCCGTTCCGCCCCCGCCTTTTGTCAGTGACGTGGCCCACACGAGCTCTCTGCACGTCTGCGTGAGCCCTCTCCACGCCCACGCCAGCGGCATCGCACTAGTTTGGGGACACGCAGCCGGCTTCCGTCACAGCGCCACTGGTCAGGGCGGAGATGTCTTACGACAAACTTCTGTGACATCCTCACCGTTAAAACAGGGGCAGAGCGGATGGAAGAAGTGATAACTCCAAGAATACCTTTCTCTGAGCCGGAAAATGTAACCTAGTTGTGTTAAAGAAGCCATAAACCTTCCGAGGCCTGGGGTACTGCGGGGCCTTCTAAAAACGCACCACACCCGGGGAGGCCGGGGTCAGGGACGGGGTGCGAGAGCCCTGTCCCAGAGGCGCCACACTGACCACGTCAATGGCCACGGGGACCAGGCTGAGACGCGCAGGAACTCACGCGACAGACTCCGCTGCCCGACGGAGGAGATGAGACAGCCCCTCGGCCGTGGGCAGCACTTCCACCGTCTGGGGAAAACTCCAGGGCTCGGACCAGGCTCACGCCTCCTGCTGAGGTAAACTCAGCGACAGGCCTGACAAGACCCTTGGAGAACACGGCCCCCAGGCCGATCAGACAGCAGACTCTCATTTCCAGGAACCACATGCCCCACGCGTAACCCAAGGAGGCGCCTGGGCGAGGCGCGCCCACGGAAGGATACGGCACTGGCGTGGTTGATGCCCACGAAAACCGCCACGCAGCGCATCACGCTGGCCCACTCCCTCTTGAACTTGTGGGGTTCCCCCAGGTGACTGTCGATGCAGGGGTACAGCAAGCCGACCACCGCTGTCAGGCAAGAAGAGAGAACAGTGTCAGAACGACAGGAATGACATAACGTGATGAACAGCAGCTTCAAAACGACTTGGACCCCTCCCGCAAGCCAGCCCTCTTCCAAGGAGGCTCGCCTGCTGTAACAGCGCCGGACCCGGGTTGTTCTGTCTCTGTTCTCCTCGACCGCAAACAAACCCCGAGAAGCCCGAGCACGGCCACAGCTCCGTGGTCACGTCACAGACGAGCCCGAGCAGGGGCTGAGCCACGTGGGCCGCAGGGCAGACCACAACCCGGCCTGCAGAGAGGGGAGCGTCCCCGTACTCGAGGTACAAGTCACAGAATACGCCTGACACGCCCTGGCCAGTTTGGCTCAGTGGTTAGAGCGTCGGCCTGCGGTCCGGAGAGACCCGGGTTCGGTTCCCGCTAAGGGCATGTACCTCGGTTGCAGTTTGTCCCCGGCCCTGGTTGGTCGTGCGGGTGGCAGCCACTCGATGTGTCCCTTTCACATCGATGTTTCTCTCTCTCTCTCCCTCCCTCTCTATCTGTACAAAAAATGGAAAAATATCCTCGGGTGAGGATAAAAAAAAAAGAATACGCCTGACACGCCTCAGCGGCCGGCGCGGATTCTGGGCACGTGGCGCTGGTCTGGGTCAAGGAGGCCCTGTGCCCACAGGGTGGCACTGGATTGGATGCTGAGGGGTGGCAGCTCTCACTCTGGGAGCCCCGAGCACCCCGTGCACTGTGCTGCAGCACCCCCGGACGCCGCCTGCTCCCAGCTGGCGGGCGGGACTGCCCTCCTGTTTGTTTCCTCGTGTGTGAGACGAGGGTTATGTAACGGGAGGAGAGGCGGAGGTCGCCGTGATCTGAACAGTTAGGAGGATTTCCCAGAAACAGAACCTGAGAGTGGGCACAGCCGAGAATGTAGCCAGAGGAGGCGTGGCGTTCCAGGAGCCGAGCCGGAGGGGGTGGAGCGCAGCATGGGTGGGGGCGCAGGCCCGGGGCCCCAGCGTGGGGCGCTCGGTTCACGCCATGTCACCTGAGCACCAGGGGCTCGGAGCCAGGCCGCGGTTCCACTGTACTGGCCTCAGGAAGAGGCAATTATTTTTGGTTCTTTTTCTTTTTCTTTTTTTTTTGGTACGTGCCCCTAGCTGGAACTGAACCCGGGACTCTCTGGTCTGCAGGCTGATGCTCTAACTGCTGGGCCAAACTGGCCAGGGCTTGTTTGTGGTTCTTGAAGAGAGAATCAAGAAACACAGCTGTAGCCAGACACTCAAAAGATTTTCGGTTTCAATTTCGGGTTGCGTTTCCCGGAGTTCTAATTTTGGAGCTTTGAACAGCAGAACCGCAGACTCTGTAACTCCCTCCGCTGCAACTGAACAACTGAACCGTCCCTTTTAAAATGAAAAGCTCAGTAGGTGAAATGTACTATGGAATGTTCTTGGCTGACGGTCAAAAACCAAAACAAAACAAAACAAGGAGGGTAGAGGAGCCGTTTGGAGCATTCCTGGAATTCCCTGCAGCTCCCGTTACAAAGAAAGCCAAAGTGAGCCTTTCTTCCTTCAGACCAAGCTTCTGATTCAAAGAAACGACACCCAGCCTGCGTGGAGCACAGAATTCGCATCTAGGGCCATTTCTCCAACTGGATTTCGACCAGTACAGCCGTGTTTTTAAAGGGTTTGGAGACATGACGCAGGACCCCACCTTGGAGGACAAAGATGAAAACATTCTCCCCCTGCTCAGAAGCCAGTGCCCCCCACCTGCCCTGGCTGGGGCACACGCTCCGGCAGGCCGCCTGCCTCCCTGCCCAGACTCCAGGGAGACCGTACACTGGCCAGGACACTTGCTAGCTGTGTCCGCTGGACTCGGCCGCTGACCCTGGGATTCAGTGTCCTCGTCTGTAACACGGAGCCACAGCTGAGCAGAGGAAGCAGGCCAGAGGTCAGCCACAAAGCGCGGTGGGCGCTCCTCCTGGGCTGTGTGAGGTTTGTTCCACCCACCAGGCCGCAGGTGCTCAGGACAGGGGCTGTCTGCTGTTTCCACAGCCCACAGAGCTGGGGCTGCAGGAAGGAGCGGACGGGTTTTGTTCATTGGCAAATGCCTTCTGATCTGAGCAAGGAACAACCCGGCACCCTTATCAAACCAGCTCCATAACCAAGAATTCTACTGAAAAGAAAGAAACAGTCGGCCCGTCCACGATGTAGGCAGAATCTGTGTTTAGTCCGTGGGCGTCGGTGCCCAGCTGGGTGCGCTGACACCCACACTCCCAGCCAGGGGTCACTTTCTAAAAGCCTGGCCTGGCTCTGGCCACCTCAGCAGGCGGGAAGGCGGCTCCTTGGCAACGCCCCGGCCCACGTGACGGTTTGTTTTCAGTTACCCAGCAGTGTAGCATGTTTGCCTCGGCAGCCAATAGCAGCCTGGTGCCTGCGCTCACCAGTTCTGCAGGTGACCAATCAGGGCAGCGGGCCGAGGTGACAGTCCCGGCGCCCCAAACACTGCCCTGCACGCCCCGCAGAGGCCGGGCGCTTATCTCCGGAACTCATCTCCATCACCCGGCTTCCTCTCACCCCGAGGCTAGCGAGGCTAGCGTTTGGGGGTTCAGCGTCCTCTCCATCCCCCTCCTTCCCTAAACACCAACCCCGGAGAGGCACATGGTTCCTCTGGATGGCTCCATTTTCAAATAAATGTTTCTCAGAGTCTGAAAACCGTTTCCGGATAGATAGACATCTTAAAAAAAAAATAATAATAATAATTTCTACTCACCAGCCGCGGTCCCACAGCAGGGAGGAACCCACCAGGCCGAGGAGAAGGTGGTGGCGATCACCTCCTCGGGGAACAGGGTGACGTTCCGCTGCACCTGCAGCAGGTTGAGCACCAGGGCGAGGACGACCCCCACGGAGAAAAGCACCAGGCTCCTCTGCAGCAGGTGGCGATGCCAGGCGGGGCTGTGGCCGCGGGCCCCCACGCCAGCGCCCCGAGGCCCGCCAGCGGGGTCGGGGGCCGGGGCGCCGCGGGCCGCCAGCAGCGAGGGGCCGGACACGGAGGACGTGAGCATCTCTCCCACTTTGGCCGCCAGCCCGCCGGCTCGGGCTGTCGGGTGGCCTCGGTGCCTGGCGCCCAGAGCACCGGAGCAGCTCCAGAAGTGGTCGTCCAGCCTGGGCATCAGTCTCGGGGTGTGACGGCTGACCTGGAAGGAAGCGGGGTCGGGAAGCGGGGTCACGACCAAGTTCACGGCCCAGGAACGGGGCAGGTGCAGGGAGCCCCGCGCGGGAGGCTGTGCTCTCATCCATCGCCGGGACGTCCGGGAAAACTCTGTCCCTCCCCGGAGCCGAGGGGACGGGGTGCGCTGGATTTGGGGGGACGGGCACGGGCTGCAGAGCCGGCTCCGTTCCCGCCCGCACGCGCGCGCCCCTGCACGCCCCGTCTCGCCCCAAAGTTTCCCAGACCCCGTGCACTCGCAGGCCACCCAGGACAGGGTGCTGGGGTCCTCGCGGGCAGAGGGGACTAGTGGCCGGGCCCACGGGGGTCCGGATGCAACAAGTCCCACTGGGGTCGGCACTGGTGCCGCAGCCCCGATGGAGGCCGGCGGGCCGCTCCCGGGACCCCGCCGCCCCGCGTACCTGGCCGAGGGGCGTCCGCCCGCAGGCTCGCCGACGGAGGAGGTCCCGGAGGAGAAGGCACCGGAGGGTCCCGGCCCGGACCGCCTGGAGTTGGGCCCGCGGCGCCCGGCGCGCAGCGCGGCTTATAAGGCGGGCGGTCGGGGCGCGGGTCACGTGACCCCGGCGCCCAGCTCCGGGGCCTGGGGGCGTGGCCTTCGCGCGCCCCGCCGCGCCCGCGCGCCCGTGCGCTCGCGGTCTGGTGAGACGGCCGCGGCCAATCGGGGTCGGGCGGCCCATATGACGTCAGCACACGCCACTGCCGGCCCGCTGGCTCGGGAGCGCGGACGGACGCGAGCGGGCGCACGGGCTGGGGGGCCGCGCGGAGCTGGGGGGCGCCGACGGACGCGGCGGGGGGCACCGAGGGGCGGGCGGAGTGCGGGCGCCGCGGGCCCCCCTGGCCCGGCCCCGGTGCGGCCGCGTCCTTCGCCCGCGGCGGGAAGTGGCGCCGCGAGGATTCCAGGGCGGACGGGAGAACCGCTTCCAGAACCGGCCGCCGCCCCCTTGGCCCAGCCGCTGGAATCTTGACCCTGACCCCCACGTGGCGCTGGATGAGCTTCCCTCCTGACTTTGTCCCTTCCACGCGGTCGCCAGCAGGTGGTCACGGCACCTGCCGGGCCACCCGGGGACGCTTTGACCCGGAATCTGCTTCCCGCCCGGGCTCCTGCCTGTCCCCGCACCTGCTCCTGGAAAGCGGGGTGTCGCGGTGCGCGGGGGCGCACGTGGCCGCGTTCGGATGTTTCCTGTTTCAGGAGCCTTTGGGGATGCAAAGCCCTTTATGGAAATGGAAATGAGAAACATTTCATTCATTCAGCCACGTCTTCCAGTTTCCTCGCGTTTGGAATGCACACCATCACGACCCCTCAGGGAAAGACAGAATCCTGTGTGCTGTTGGGGCACCGTGTGTTTGAATCCTGCCCGCCACATGGGTCTCCCCGTCCAGATAGGAGGGCGGGGCCCCGTGCTGGTTGAAAACCCACGTGTGGCTGAGCAAGATCACATTATTTAGGGTGTTTTACCATAATAGTTTGTGGTCTTCTGTACTGTCCTGGGATGAGAGGGAGTTTGTACTCGAAATACCACATGTCTCCCCCCGAGAGACCCCACAGCTGAGGAAGCATGAAACATTGTGTGTGTTGTATCTTAAGCATTCAGGTCTGGGGTTAAAAACAAAACAAACAACCACACAAACACAAAAAACCATGTTGTCCTGATATATCAATTTTTCCCAAAGTTCATTTATTGGGGGCGTGGAGATCATGTGAGTTGGTAATGATAAAACAGGAACTTCAACGAAAAGGGGCTGAGAGAGGCTGTCCACGCCCAGCCCCAAGCAGCGCCGATCCCCTTTCTGACTCTACAGGGTTCCTGTTCTGTGGCCTCATGTCCGTGGGATTGGATACCACGTGGCTTTGTGTGAGCCTCAGTACAGTGTTTCCAAGTTCATCCGTGGTCGTCTGTGTCCACGTTCGTTCTGTCTTGTGGATCAATAGCATCCCGCTGCGTGGAAACACCACGGTTTGTTTACCCACTCTCCGGCTGATGGCCGAGTGCCCTGTTTTTGCTTTTTGGCTACAATCAGTAGTGCCTCCGTGCACCATTGTGGGTAAGTTTCTGCGTGGACGTGTGTTTTCTGTTCCCTGGGTGGACTTCTAGGAGGGGACTCGCCAGCCAGGTGGTGATTCAGCCCTTAAACTCCTGCGAGCCCCCGGCCCGGCAGCGTGTGAAGTTCTGACTTCCCCGCTGTTACTTGATTTTTCATTCTTGTCGCCCCAGTGGGTGTGGAGTGGCCGAGCCATCGTTTTGATAACAGGATAGTGTTCCTATATGTTGGGGAGGGTCTTAGTTCACTTGCTAAGGCTTTATTGGTAAAAGTCACCCCTGCAAGAGTGAAGGAAAGAGCTGAAGAAGGAAAAGCAAGTTCAAAGCCGGGCCTGGGGGAGCTGGCTGGGGCTGTGCAGGGAAACACCCCGAGGGGCCTGGAACACGGGGCGCCTTCCAGACAGGCTGGGGGAGGACAGTCCTTTCAGAGAAGGGAAGAAAGAAGCATGTCTGTCGGCTTTCTGTCCCTTGTCTCCAGTTGGTCCACGTTTGCCCACAGTCCTAGCTCCTCTGCTGACCTGGGTCTGGGTGTCGGCACGTCCGTGCGGCTGCTGGGTGGCCAGATCCCACAGCCGACAGCGGGCACAGGGGCAGAATCGGGGGCAGGAAGGGCCCGGATGTGCTGTGGGGGTCCAGCTGGGTCACATCCTCCATTTCACGTCAGTCGCTTGGAAGGGTTAGGAGAGCGATGATTAGCAGAGAGGATCCCTTTGCTGTGGGAGGTGGTATTCTGCATGACGGTTGTTCAGTGACAGAGACCACTGCAGGTGGTGACCAGAGCTCAGGCAGAGGGCGTGGGCCACAGATCAGAGCGCCTCCCACAGCCCTGCGGGGGAAAGGACGGCGGATGGAAGGGCCAAGGGGGAGGAAGACATTATGGATCACGAAACCCAGAAACACGTGTCCCAAAGGAGAGTCAGCAGCACCAAAGGAGACCATGAGGGCCCAGGTGATGTGGGCCGTGGGACCCTGGGGACAGGAAGCAGCCAGGCTCCTGCAACCTGGAGACCAGGAGGGGAGAGGGTTAGGAAATGGAGAGGTCATGATGTGGAGGGAGTTTTCTTTTGTTCTTAAAATGGGAGGGGTGAAGGGTGGGAACAAATAAAAATGCTGATGGGAGATTCCAGTTGAAAGAGCCAGACTGGAAAAAGACAGTTTGGGCCTGGTGTCTGGGACCAGAGGCGGGTGTCTGTTGAGCAGGAGCCCCACCTCTGCCCAGTGCCCAGGACAGCAGGCTGGTGGGCCGGAGGCATTGCCCTCAGGGGCTCCAGTTTTTGCTGGAGGAGGAGGAGCGGCCACAGTTAAGCTGATAGAAGTGACAGTAGTTTGCATCTCCGTGCTGAGGACCTGGTTGAGCTGGTGACCCTCCTTGGTACTGCACTCCAGGTAGGAAAGCCCACTGTGCAGGGCCCCTGGACTGGGTTTCCAGCAGACGAGTTGGCCAATGGGATGAGGAGGGTTAGGACAGTGACTGGTGGGGCCATGGCGTGCAGGGGTGAGGAGGATGCAGCGAGGACAGGCCCCAGCCTCCCCTGTGGGTACAGAGGACACAGTGCCTCTCTGGGTGGAAGGTCTGCCGTGGTAGGAATCTTATCCTGTCCACTGGTATAGCCCAGCAGCTACACAGTTGTCCCTGGAAATGCAGTGGGAGGAGAAGAGACTGCAGTCACGTGGGAAGTTTTATGAGCGCGTGGTTTCTGGGGACACCAGCTGCCGATGACAAAGTTCACGGAGTAGCCCTGGGATTGGGTGGCTGAAGTGGCGTGGGACGAGTCACCAGGGCCGTGGAGGTCAGGGGATGCCGAGGCTGGGCTGTGGATGGGTCATGCTTGGTGGGGCGAGGTTGCTCTGGCTGGTGGCAGGTTTGGGGTGTGGAGGTTGGGCTGTGTTCCAGGTGCACGAGTCCCCAGGGAGTGAAGACGGGACTCTGAAGAAGGTAGATGGCTGTGGCAACCAGAGTACACTGGGTGGGATAGGCTCCCCCTCCCCCCCCCCAAATCCTGACATTCTGGAACCTCAGAATACAACCTTATTTGGAAGTTGGGTCATTGCAGATTAGTCAGGATGAGGCCACATAGCAGCAGGCCTGGCCCTTGATCCAATCTGACTTGTATCCCTGTGTGAAGAAGAGATGTAGAGAGAGGCCATGTGACAGTGGAGACAGAGATCGGAGTGATGGTCTACAAGGCAAGAAATGTCAAGGATGGCCAGGAGCCTCCTGAGGGAGGGATATGAGGGCATCTGGATTGTAGGCTCCCCTGGGACACTCCTCCCGAGTGATGGACTGAGGTCCGTGGGAGGACATGGTGTCCCTGCAGATGGGGACAGTAGGTGTATGCTGGAGAGCCATGGGACAGGCAGATGTTTACTGAGCCAGGTTTCACCAGAGCCAGATGGTGTGGGAGAGTGTGGGGAAGAGGTCAAGACTGTGGACCAGTTTGCCATCAGCTGTGGGATTCCTAGAGGGAGGGTGTGGAGTAGGGAAGGGGAGGTGGGGAGTAGAGGGGTGTGAACGCCCCAGGGCACCTCACAGTCCTGTTTTTCTGTGTGCCATCTCTCTCGGCCTGCTGGGGTCGGCACAATGCAAGGGACTTACAAACACACACTGGTAGGAGTGAGGGGGAGCATAGCAAGGGAGCAAATGCTCCAGATCTCTAGATGCAGCCCAATTTATTTGCAGAATCATTCCCTTGAGATGGCGTCTCTGCAAACCATACAGCCTAGTCCTGTCTCTCACTTTTTACTGTGGAAAGAGACTTCAAAGCTAAAAAATAACAAACCCAGACCCTCCTGAATCCTACAACTCCTTGGCCACGCAAGGCAGTGTTCCAACATATGTCGTGCAAATCTTATCTTATACACATGCAAACGAAGCATTCATATATGCTCGAGGTGGTTTTCCTGCCTTCCAGTCAAACCTGTCTGTCCACACACACACTTTGATCCTAGGCTGGCAGGTTGTGAGAATGCATATCACAAGGTTACAAATTCTCCATCCACCAACTTCCCATCCCTACACCCGCAAAACCTAAACACTGAGTGTGGCCTGTTATTTAGTCTTCATGAGCACCTGGAAGGAGTCGTCTCCTCCAGGGGTGGAGACGGTGAGTCCTGGGGTAGAGGGTCTGCAGGGTTCCGATCGGGTCTCGCTGTGTCCCAAGCTGCTACCACCCCCCACACTGTGATCCCCCACATCTCAGAGAGCTTAGGGGGTAGACACACAGCACAGTCTACAGGTCGAATGTTAGAGTTGTACAGCTGAAACGTGTGTTTTTTAATCAATGTCACCTCCATAAATTCAATAAAAAAGTAAAAAAAAACAACACAACACAACCCTTCAGCGCGTGTCTACCGCATACACCGTGCGGGATAAGAGGCGGCTCCCGCCGGTGGAGAGGACATCGTGTGGGTGTCAGCCAGGGTAGAAACCTGGGCGGCTTAAAGCGACA